GAGCAAGCAGGGAAACGCCCGGGCCCCTACGCAACGTGCGGCACAGTGAAGGGGCCACGCGAGATAACGGAACGTGCGGCGCAGTGAAGGGGCCACGCGAGATAACGGCCCCACCTACAGACCCACCTCGAGTCAATTCAGTACTTGTACAAGTACGAAGAAAGGGACAGGATTTAATGGCCCTACTCGATACGGGATGTGAAGTGGATATGATATTGGAAGCCGCAGCAAGGAGATGCAGCCTACCGGTCCACTCATTGGCGCAATCTCTGAGGCTACGCTTTGCAGATGGCAGGCAGGATACTAGAACCGGCAAAACTATGGGCGTAAAACGCTCCATCAGCTCCAAAACAGGGCACATTCCTATGAGTAGGGACTTCTACGTTGGACCTGTTCACCACGACATAATCCTAGGCATGCCGTGGGTGACCCAGTGGAAGGCGCAAATGAGTTCCTCTGATGGTGCCATAGAGGTCATTCCGCCTGGAAGTGATGAGAGAGTGCATCTCTCAGCGCTTCCAACGGCATTTGCATCCTCTATGGTTTGAGGTGTGGAGACTCTGTCCGAAGAAATGGGGAGCGACGAGGATTCCCCACTCTGCAGAGGCACCGAAGAGAATAATGGATGCACGCACGCACTCCGTCGTGATGCTCTGGTAAAGACCGCAGTTTTGGGGGAATCGATCCAGTTAACACCCGAGGAACGGCAGAGGTGGGCAAAATTGAAGTTGTACCGAATAACAAAGAGCTACCGGCGGGCAGGCCACACGCTGGACGCTCTATGCACCGCATCGAACTCATCCCCGGCTCAGCCCCAAGCTTTGTTCCACGGTACAGGCGACCCCCGCAGCTGGAAGAGGAAATTGAGCGGCAGGCCGACGAACTTCTGAAAAAGGGCAAGGTTCAGCCGTCAACTAGCGCCTTCGGGCACAATCCCGTGCTGGCGAAGAAAACAGACGGCAGGTGGCGCATGTGCGTCGACTTCAAGCCCATCAACAAGATTACAGAGAAGCAGAAGTTTCCGATGCCCAGAGTGGACGAAATCCTTGACCGCTTACAGGGTTCAGCGGTATACTCAGCATTTGACTTCGCTGAGGCCTTCTTGCAGATCCCTATTCACCCAAAGGACAGGCACAAAACGGCGTTCCACACCCGCACTCGCAAGCTGGACTACACATGTATGCCCTTTGGCGTAGTGAATGCACCTGCCAAACTGTACCGGCAAATCAATCACGACTTCCTGGAGCCAATTGCCGAGGGGTGGATGGTGATATACATGGATGATGTGCTTGTGTTCAGCCGAAATGTGCAGGAGCACCTGCAGCACCTCCGGCTGGTGTTTAGTGAAAGCGCGGAAGTGTTCGTTTTTCATGCAAACAATCAGTTTCTTAGGA